GTGTATTTTAGATTTTTGAGAGTAATAGGTCAATTTTTGGCAAGAGGTTTCTCTTTTAGATAAGGTAATTTTCTGTTTCTTTAAACTGCTAAGTTTGAAATTGGATTTTGAAAAGTGCTGGAAATTTGGGAAAAAAGATAAGGAAGTATGCTGATGCCATAATAACTTCACTTCAAAAATGTGATTGGGACAAAAGTTTCTACCCACGCAGTGACTTTCAGATTAATTGGAACTTATTTGATAAACATGCTTATTAGAAATTATACTTTTGATGATATTATCATTTTACATCATTTTCCAAATAACAAATACACCTACACAAAAAGTATTGTATTCAAAATACACCATGTCTATTAAAAAGAATTTCAAAAAGTGGAATGAAAAAATTTACAAAAAGCATGTGATAACTTCATAAAGAGTCACCCCAATTTTCAAATACAGTGGAACGCCACTATAACAAACACGACAGGGTCCACGAAAAAGTTCAGTACAGCGGTCGCTCGGTATAGCGAAATTAACAGCCGAACGTTTCAAGAAATGGGTCTGTTAATTATTTTGTTCTTGAGTTAGAACATTGCTATTTAGTTTATCCTAAAAGTCATGAAGCTGCCACTTAGGATCGATCTCTGATGCATGCTGTGGTGAATCTCAGTTGATTTGCAACTGCATAATGTTTAGTACTGTTTGGTGCACAAAATATTGGGAGCCAAGGACGATGTTCGGTACAGCCGAACGTTTGGTACAGCGGTGTTATTGTTGATTGCTTGTGTTAGCTAGGCACCTTTGGAAGCAGTGATCCACTGAGAGCTTTTTCCAGGAAACAAGAAATAAATTTCAACCTAATCAGACATGCACTTCAGGAGATAAGGTGCTTTGAAGAGAGCACCTTCAGTTTCCTCTGACTTGTCACCAGATGACATCATCAGCTCATTATGTCAGTTTTTGTCTAACACTTCCTGTTTTACTTCAGGAAATACATTGCTTTAAAGGATGCATCTTCAATATCACATGACCTGTCACCAGCTATCATAATCACGAGCTAAATTTTCATCTACATGTGTAACACTTCCCTTAATAACTATCTGTAAGGTTTCAACCCTATCAGACATGTACCATACAACTGGACATTTATCACAAAAGACCACAGAATAGGCTTTATTGGGATTTCACATTTTTCTCTTTGGGTGTTCCATACAAAGCAATGTGACGCCAGTGCCACATGCTTGGCAATGATCCAGCCCATGGAGTTTAATGCCCTATGCACTATGTTACATTGCCTGTCCACTCAAACAGACGTCAGGGCACGATGTGCAATGGAATTTTCACGCACGCAAATATCATAGGGGGATTTTTTTTGTCATTTGAGCTAGAGATGCACCTGGACTCATGTGTTTTTCACACAATCAGGCACGCTTAAANGACATTGAAAAGTGCTGCATGAACACATTCCCAGCGTAAAGCTTGAACACTTCTTGACCTGGTACCACTCCCTTCAAAATTTGGATATCTCCAAGGGGGAGAAAAGGTTAGGTGGAATAACCACACGGACTTTGCAATGAACTAAAACTCAAATAGTGACAAGGGCACTTTTTATCTAAGATAACATCTCTCTCTGCACAGGCTCTCGGATAAACAGTGTGACAAGGGAATCCAATTTTAGCAACACTCTGCATCTATATTGGGATATAAGGTGACAATAATAGAATATTTGACTTTGTACTGTGAAAAACTATTCCAATAACAGTGGATATCATTAGGTGTGCACCATCAATGTGTATATTGTGAACTCAGGCAATTTTATACAAAAACTCTCTGTTGATATATAACAATTTTAACCTTTGAATATGGATGTGATTTGAATGGTGAAGTTGCAAATGCCAAAGTGAAAATGCTTAAAGACAACAGGACTGTGCACTACATTTTACTCTAAAGAACAATGCCACCACTTTAAAGTTAAGAACCAAAACAGGGAACAAATGTATACTATTTCCCCTAAATTAAGTTGACAGTCCTGTTGAGTGATGCATTTTTTCTGTTTCATTTGACTATTCTCACCTTCCAGAGATATCCTAGTAATCCATAATTGATCACTTTTCCTTTGCTCTCTACCATGGTTGTTACTTTATTGGTGAGTGTATTACCTTAAGTATCCCCAGTAACGGACTGTAATTCTGAATGGAATTCTGTCTTGTTTCAATAATTTATCTTTTCACCTTAGAATGGACACAATTAATGCCTGAGCCACAGGCGAGGGTGTTATCAGCTTTCATTCTCCTTAAGACCGACCAAGCACATATTTATTCCCATTCATACGTACCATTTTAGTCAGAGTCAAAAGAAGTCAATATATGATAAATTTCCAAGGATTTTGTTGAAGAACTTTCCTTTCATTTTCCTGAATATCCCCATTCAGTTTGTGGTATATTCCTTGTGCAAGTGCATGTACATGTAGCCAAGAGAGAATTTCCGCACTATGAGTAGTTTCCCTACTATGAACATTGTAATGCTCATGGCAAGTTCTACCTGCTGTGGCGCTGGCGCGAACAGGCTCTTGAATATAGGAATTGATTACAATGTCTTGTATTCAGGTGCCAGTTTATTTTGAAGCAAGCAGGTATTATCAAATTTAATACATTGTCACATTGCATGTTATTGAATAGGTAAACTGTCTAAGGTATTTCTAAATATGTCTTTTACAATCTTGATTCATTCCATGTTTGTGAAATGCCTTTTTTTTTGCTTAATCACATTCTTGCATATTTTTTTACTCCATCCCTTCCCAAGACCAAATCCTAACCCTATCCTCCAATCCCAACCCAACAAATGTCTTATGGTATGTATATTGCTTTGTCAAAATAAATCTAGTTACATCCTTTATTTTAAAATATTTTAGTCTGTTTGCACCTTCTCACCTGCTCTGTGAGTAACAGGTCACTGGAGTCAGTTGCGAGTTACAGGACATTGAAAAGATCTTACATGATGGAAATCAACAGGAACCATAAATATTTCCACTCACACAATTTCCACAGATTTCATCACTAAGCCACAATGAGACATATGCATGCACTGACAATAAAAACTTTAGTTAGCATTATTCAATGTGGAGCAGGTCACATTTTTGCTGATGTTCTTTTAATTTATTTTATTTCAATTCCTGTAAATGGCGGTTCCTCCACTGTTGGAATTGATTACGAAATAAACTCGTCCAGGCACTATAACATTAACCACTTGCTGCCGGGTGGCTTTTTCTTGAGCAAGACAAGATGCCGGGTCCTTTTCAAGATTTTCCGTTTTCAAAATTCTTCAAAAATTCATCATTTCATTTAATACCCACATGAAGGACTTGAGTCGTTGGGCACTACTTTAAAGCTGACAGGTAACCTTCATTGACTCCTGAATATTTCAGCCAGGCCTACAGCCTTGGAAAAAGAGCCCAGATTGTGTGGTGTTACGTAAGATTCTTTTGTTCCTGAAACCGGCACCGTGCACTGCTGACCTTTTTTCAATAGGGGCCAGATTAGCGTGCAGCGGTGCTGTGTGGCTCATCCCTGCGGTGGTGGAGAGCTTTTGTCCCTGGTGGTAATCTGCTCGCTCTAAATGCCTCAAACTGTGGTATACTGTTTCAAAACAAGGCTGGATTATCTCCACTATTGAGAGCGCAAAAATGTTGGCAATGCCCAGCAGCTCAATCGTTTGTGCTGAGCATGGTCTTTTATTATACGGCCCAACTCTTTTGTCCCAGTTCTGGGCTCCCCGGCTCTGCATATAAAGCCTATGTACTTGAAAATGGATCGTCTGGCAGGAAGTGGTTAAAAAGTATGTGATGTTACAGATTTGTTTTATGGTCACCGAACCACTGAAAAGTGATTTATTTGTAAGAATTCATGACATTCCTTTACCAAAAAGTCAATGCTTGGAGTCAATACAAGAAACCATTAGCTACAAAAGGAGATGATAGTGATGTTAAATTAATTGGTGACATACCCTCTATGACATTCTCTGTTCCTCCAACATTGATGCTCTCGATAAAATCTCTCTTCTTCATCTAAAAAGACCCAAGGATTCAATCAAAAGATGACCAGTTTTGTGAGAAGTTTTCCAACAACTTTTAATTTTATGAACAGGACAAATTATCTAGGGTCCTGTGCCTCACTCAAAAAAAAACTTTCATTTGTTATGAATGTTATTCAAAAATTAGGACATGAAGGTATCCAAGGAGTTGTTTGAGCTTGTTGACAAATTACTTATGCAACAGAAGGCAGTATGTTTTATGTACATGTAGTTCTGTAAAATCTTCACAAAGGGGGGGGATTAGGGATGGTCAGGGGAGCAACTCCAGGGGGGCTCTCTGACTTTTTTTTACAAAGCGAGTAAGAAAGTAATTGGAATGTTCATTTATCAAATATTAGCACCAAACCTCGCGAAACAACATCAGCAAATAAAAGCAAGAATTTTAATGATGGGATTTGCCCTTACACCAATGTATATTAACTAACACAATTCTCCTTAATGACTGTCCCCATTCTTTCTTTTTTTTCTGAAATGTGAATTTTGTTGATTAAAGAAAATCTCATCCGGGTCTATGCACTGACACTCACATATCCTAGAGTAGGCATTGTTCTTATGGCTGTGCCAGTGCTGCCAGTAATACATGTACCTACATGTATATATAACACTGCATTGGCTTAAATCTGTGCTGGAAATTGGGGGAATGGGTGGGGAAAGGTGGGGTACACTATATACACCAAATAGGGGGCGATGTTCACGATAATGATGTACATGTATACCTGTTATGTGTATCAAATATTTATGCAGAGTATAATCTTTTATCGAAATGGCAGGCTTTTAAAACTTTTTCCCCTTTTAGTGATATTGCAAACATAGTCGTTTGTAAATCCAAAAAATTCCTTAATCATTGCAAAAAACTGAGGGGAGGGGCAGGGGGTGATTCGATTGCCGATCCCCCAACTCAAAAATTGGAGAGGGATATATATCCCATCCCTGGGGATTTATGCCCATGTGCATAACTCGTAGTGACATATGGCATAACATAACTGGGCCCACGCCTCCTGGCATCTCAACCAACGTTAGGCCTGGTGGTGGGCCTACCAGAAGCCGAGGGCCTACTGCCGCTGACTTTTGTTGGTGGTATGTCATGCATCCATCACTAGCACTCTGTTGTGAATGTTGAGTAAACAGTTCCTGGATTTAGGAACTGCCTGTGCAGTATGTTAGATAACAGCCCTCTATACACTGTACCACTTTGGGTGACACGGGTGTGCTTTCGCACAATACTATTATATCTTTACATGTATATTTGTGAAATTGATGTCATTTACATTTCTCCTTTTTTTTTACGCTCATGTGAAAGAGCTTTGGTGCTCCCTTGAATCAATACGGGGATATTGAAACAGACATGGGGATATTTGCTGCTTCCAAAACCTGAGATTTGCAAAATTACAAGTTTGAAATCATTCTCATCCATACAGCATGGAATTGACCAATACTAATTCCGGAAGACTGACATGTTTAATTTTCACTAAAATGTGTCACATATTTTTGTTTGGCAACCAAGAAGTTAGTTAGAAACAAAAACATCAACATCAGGCAAATTACCATTTCTGCTCCAGACATGCCAAAGGAAGCAATGTGGAACACACAGTTAATGCCTTTGCAAAGCTCCTCCATCAACTTTCTGTCTCGTATGTCTCCCTGTGTAACATTCATTGTGTACAAAGGGGAAAAGGTTATACGATACATGTTTAAATGACACATCACATCACGACATGCTTGATTCCTTTATTTTCCTCACTAACCCAAAATGTGCTACACAGATACAAGCACGGCAAATTCCAAGCAAAACCCACACAAATTTTAACAAATTTCAAGCACTGAAGTAGTTTCTAAAACTAGTGAAAAATTTTGTCTCTGAAATTTCCGCACCTGCACAAATTTGATTTCCTCATTGTACTTCTCGATAGGTGTAGCCTTGTCAGTTATAACCACTGTGCATCCAAGCATGTGAAGTGCCCTTGCAAGGTGGATTCCAAAGAATCCACCTCCCCCTGTAACCAGAACTTTCTTTTCTCTGAGAGAAGGCACATCCAAGGTCCTGAAAATAGAAAAATGTTGGCTTTCAGCTGCATGTATCTCTTTCCAGTACATTAGTAACTCTGCAGCTGATTTCACAAAACCTATGCAATGACATAACTATAAAAGCCACACTTTATTGCCCAAATCATTATTAACATTTTACATTCTATTTTTCTCCCGCAGAATTTGCATTCTGTGCTTGATTTTTCATTTGCATTTGTCTTCAAATTGATAAAACCAAAATTGACTACTTCTGGAATGGATGCCATGACCGATCTTTGCCCTTTATATGCATAGACCATACTGACAATAGATTGTAAGACCATGGAGATGTGTTTTATTTCTCCATGGTAAGACCCACATCAAGCAGCAACTGATGGTTGCAGTTGCAGACCAGTAAAAATAGGTGCAAAACTGCCTGCCCGGCAGGCTGTCAAAATCTGCGCTATTTGAGCATTTTGTGGCACATGGACTGGATGGTTTGTAAAGGAGGATGGATAGTACCAACAGGATCGACTGCCAGCTTGTACTTTTATCATTGGACCAAACAGGGCACTCAAACATTTCTAACTTTGCAATACAGTGCAGGCATCAATTTTCAGAATGGGGATGGGTCTCGTGACTGTTTCTACGGGTGATTTTCTCTGGAAAGAAATATCTTCAAAAATTATCGTAATTCGAGAACTGTAAGTCACTTAACTCCATGATGAGCCTTATTGCAAATACTGCATGAGTGATTTTGTATAATGGTAAAAGGGCATTTTGGGAAGGCAAAGTGTTTGCTCCTTTTTCCTTCCCATATGCCTTTCTATCAATGTGTAAAATCACCCATGTAGTGTTTGCGATAAAGCTAAGTTATACGTTATACTTCGACGGAATATCACGGAGTTAGTGACTTAGTATAGAGTTCTCGAAGTAAAGTCATCGGACATGTCGGATAAGCAACTGGAACCTGAAACGTGTTTTCCTTAGATTAGAGGTGCTCTTTAATTTTTGTAGCTCATTTTGATCGATATCACATTACCTGAGTAAATCCATCACACGTTCTTTGTGCCTCTCGGGACCGATCCACGTTGTTTCAGTTGTCATGATCTCAGAGTGGGGAATAAGCATAGAATGGTGGATTTCTGCATCAAAAGCGAGCAGTGCGTGTGGCGCCGGCGATGCGCTTGCGCAAGATGTACTGTGGAATATCTGCTTCCAGCTGATATGGTACCCGCAACAAGCTAGACTTAAATCAAGTCGGACTTATCTTTCCCTTCCCGGTCAGCTATTCCTTCACGTAGTCTTGGGTTCGAGACGCCTTTCGAAGCCTTCGTCCGATATTGCCACAAGACTGGTTTCACTGTACAGAGCCTGAAAGTTGATGCCCTCATAGCGCCTCCAGAACCCTTGGATAGAAAAATAACATGCACAATTTTCGATTTGTAATTTTTTTTTCGTTCAGTAACTTCCTACAAATCTACTCGTGAAAGGCCTTTTGTAAAATCTCTGCTAGCATGTCAATTTATGGAAACTGAGAAATTACCTGACCTGAAAGAGAAATATTGTGTCAAAAATTGACCCATCACTTCCGAAAGTTTAAAATACATGAAAAATAGTGCAATTCGGTGGTCTCGTACGCAGATTAACAGTTACGGAATTATACTTTATTGTAGTCTTTTGGTACCCCCCAAGACATGATATTTTAAGGATTTTTCAATTTATAAGGAAATAAACACAAAGCAATAACCTGCTTAACAAAAGATTCTGATGAATAATCTAACCTTAACCTTTGGGGACAAGGACTGCGTCAGGTCAACGCGACTGACTCTGGAGTCCATCGACAGCATGTAGGTAAATCTTTGCATCGTTATGGCGTGCAAAGTTAACATTTAATCTGCGTATACATATATCTCCGTTCCTAATAGAGATATCTCTATTAATAATAATCTCTTATCAACAAAGATTGATAATAGAGATATCTTTATTGTA